ATACTTAGGTAAGTGAAAAAATTCTTGAAATAATATTTATATTTCTTTTCTTTATTTTCAAATTATTTGAATTTATTTACTAAGTTTTCAAAGAAAAACGAACACATAATCAATTTATATCAGAAAGCTAAAGTAAAAGAAAAATAAATGTATTTTAAATTGATAAGTAAGATTTGTCTGCATTCTGAAGGTATCAAATTTGTTGCGGCTCTCTAGAAAACTGTTTGAACAAAAATAAATCTTATTACCAACAGTTTAAAGTATAATTTTACACGTACTTCTTTGAGGTGCAGAATTGGACGTTGTATTAAATTGGCTGGAATTTAAGATATGTAAATATATAATCCTGAAAAATCTCACTGACTCAATATATCAGCTTGTTGAGGTTCTATAAATTTATTTTACAAGTTCTTGACACACTCTGCTTTGATGCATTTAAATTGAATTTCAAAATAATATTTGTAGTGCTATATTTATTTAAAAATATGTCCTTCTTTTTATTTTGTTATGGAATGACCCAAAAGAAAAAAAAAATTCAAAATCTTATCATTGAACATTACCTACATATATTATAGGTAGTAGCATGCACACCCCATCATAACTAGTTAGGATATGTTTATTAAAACGTAAGTACCTAATAAGTGGACTGTATAATAAGATACTATACTTTGTTTTACGTTTTAGCAAATATTTGTAATAAAAGGGTCAATTCACGAATTTTACAACACGTTGAGCTACTAGAGCTTACGTTTCCTTTGGAAACCGAAATTCCCAAAGATCGTGCCATGACGTGCAATAAGTACCTACTAGGAGCTCAGTATCCGATTCTTTACTGATTAAACTAGGAAACGGTAGAAGTGGGAGCGGGAGATAAGTCTCTCTTGGCATAAATTGGCAATAATGTAAACAAAACAACTGACCACGATTACTCCGTTCTTACGGACAATGGAATGGCAGTCCTGATAATAATTACATCTCAATGAACCCACCACTGTTTTTAACAATATTTTCACCATTAAACAACAGTGTATACCTATATGTTTATTTTATACAATTATTTTGAGCACGAATCTTTTATATAATATTTGACACAATCATTTTTTACTCATCAAAATTTGCCTTTGAAAATTTTGTATTGTACATAATAATTATACAATGAAGTATGAACTATTTTTCTTAAACTATTAAAATATCTTGTAAGAGTACTCACATCACTTGTGGCAGAGACAAGTGTTTATTAATATCAGCTCATCACATTTGTGTACAGGATTGAAAATTTCTATTGAAATGAACTACATATACTAAAATATAGTTTTAATTTACTCAAGCATATAGAAAACAAAGTAGTGACATTAACTTGTCTGTCTTTTGCTGAAAACATAACGCACCTCAACCTTGATGTATTATTATGTAAGCATTGTGTTTTTTTCTCAATAAAGTTATTATTATTATTATTTTAAAGGATATTATGTGTCTAGAAAGAAATTGCATGTTAGATCCTCACTTTATATGACAGTGGCGTGCACACCATACTTACATGCAAATAAGCACTGCGTACCCTACGCATATAACAACTATACTCCAGACACATTCGATCTGGAATTTAGTAAACAAACCATGAGTCATCATAATTAGGGTTGATACACTCGTAATAAAACATAATTATTATTGAAATTACAACTACATATATTCATTATAACACAATTTCCTGTTTAAATACAAAAATTTTAATTTAATATAGAATACAAAAATGTTATTTAGCCGGTCAATACATAATTTATATGAAAATTAGCTTAAAATAAAAGTTTAAAAATCTTTAATTACCACTATAATATTACTACAAAACTAACAACCCTATATTTTAATACTGAGGTAAAGAAATCGCGGGTTTCTTAAATTTGGAGTGTTTATTAAGCAATTGTCAGATTTAGGAAGGTATATAATAGCGATACAGGCTCTTCGTCATTGGTGGTGTATATTTTGAGTCGTATTATAAAGGTAGTATGACCACAACAGGTTAAGAATGTTATTATTACACACGTTTCATTACACACAGATTTAAAAAAAGACATCTTGTTTTGGCTATCATACATATAGCACTATAATCACTGCTTCAACCACATATATTTACAATTTCTTCTAATATATGTATATCAGATAAAATTTAAGAAATTTTATTGCGATTACAATTTAATTAATTTTAAAAAATATTTTTTTAACGCAAATAAAGTTAAACGAAACGTAACTACGTAATTTTGTTGCATTATACGCCCGCCATAATGTTTGTTTTGTTGTTAGTTAATTAATGTACACTATATTAATAATTAATCTAAGAAAATGTATCCTTCAATTATTTATTAACAAACATTGATTATTATCGTTGATATGCATTTGTTACTTTTTTCAATAAACATATAACATTATGTATGTACTATATATCATATATGTATAAAACTCGCATATTTTCATACATTCGATTATCCGAATGCCTATTTGTTCATATCACGTCGGGGTCACCAGCTTAGTATCGCTACTTTAAGTTTTTAAGCAAACGATAAGACACTTTAGTATACGTTGAAGATACAGGTACATACCTATTATGTAATAGGCCAGCGAGCATACGAGCGACGTGCAGTCCGACCCGGAAGCTGGAGTGTACTAAACAATTATGTAATTAAAATTATTATAGTTGTGAAGCGACGGCTGGCCGGCCGGGCCGCAGGGCCCGCGGGGGACGTCGCCCCGCAATGGGGCGGAGTCTAACGTTGAAATAATTAAATTGATAAAAAATAATTAAAACATACAAATACAAATCACACAACAAAGATCAACACCTATCGACAACGATTAGTTCGCTTAGTCGAGTTTCTACTGTATTTGAAATTAAAACAAATACTTCTTTTTATACATACTCTATTTGTTTACACAATGTCGCCTTGTATTGTGCCGCTTTGGCACTTGTCGGCTCTAACTAAAAGGATACCGCCCCAAATCAAACAATGCCGCGTGCGGGCGTACAGACGCATAACATTTTAGTGTTCCGCATTTCGCTCCTTTGTAGCTTCAATAATAATTAAAAAGATAGATAACCTTATTAATGATTATTAAAAGCTAGATTTAAACATTTGAAATGTTAAGAAAATAAACATTTTCTCGGTAACGTTCTATATAATTTGATTACGCATTTGATTTGATTACACATATATTGTATATAGTTGATTTTTCGTTTTTATTATTTCGATACTTCAATTAAGTTTGATGCTTACTATATTTAATGTATTATTTTTTATTTGCTTATTCAGGCATTTTTGTCGGCAATCAAATAGTGTCAAATATAGTGCGTTCGGTGCGGCGGCGACGATTGTTTGTATGCGCAAAAGAAGACGCCGCACGTGTATCTTGACCTTGTACTTCCGAATAGCCGCAAAAGGAGAATATGGAAACTTTTGGGCCCAAATTGTAATGAGTTCAAAATTGACTTAAAAAATTAGTTTATTTTTTTTTGTGTGAAATACCAAAAATCTACATAAATTCTCAATCTACAAGCGGAGAAATATGCAAATAACTATTTTTATGAAGTAATCGATTAACGATTAATTAAATAAAAAATGATTATTCGATTATTTAACTACAAAATAAAAACTTCACTCCTGGTTTTAAACTTACAGTAACTTCATTTAAACTACACCATATATGTTTACAATTCAATAAAAATAGCTTTTAATAACGTGTATTAATATAATAGTACTATTTAATATTATTTTAAAATATCCTTTTCCATTATCGATTCCATATCGATCGAAATCATTCCGTATATAGTCTAGGGCAACATAAGATTGACACTTAATAATTACCATGCCAGATGCATTGTTATCTGAGTCTCACTTGTTTCGTCATTTCGTTTTTTTTGATAAGTTTCGAGTGCTTTCCCGTTCATTTTACGTTCTCAACGACCACTGCTTTGTTTTTTACGGACTCCGAACCCGCCTACGTTTTACGACCCTTGCTGTCACATTGGACACCGACGATCGCCTGCACGTTTGACTTGGAATTGTTCATTTGGATTATTTCGCCGGCTTGCGGATTGGATATTACTGAAACGATGGATCGCTGTGTGAATTGCGGGATAGCAACTAGTACCTGCAATACATTACGTCGACGACCATTAAACGATGAAATAACTCTATCTGTGATTCGGCAATGGCTTGCACCTCAGTCTGTAAGTAAATATAAACTCTCCTAAGTAAGTAGCTAAAAGTTAAAGCACTTACTTAATGTATTTTAAATCTACCTTGGTAGAATTAAAATACAGCTACAAGACTTGAGCAGGTTATTTACATTTAAAGCAAATAATTTAGTATATCATTGTACTTTATAATGAGAAATTATAAGATATCATTAAGGTAACTGAATACTAAAATGTATGAAATATTTTATTCCATTTGTTAGGTGAGCAGTAGTGACGGTGTTTGTCAAGCATGTTGGGATTTGGCTCAAAGTCCACAGGCTCTTACCCAGGGAAGACTACTAGGACATGGTAACATTTGTCTCCGCTGCGGACGCTCTCTAGCTGCACGAGTCAGTCATGCACTTCATAAGAACACTATTCGTGAATCAAGAATTTATAATGTCATACAAGAATGGATTATTCCTTGTGATGTAAGTAAATAATAATCTCTCGTAATCTGCTCAATTATACTATTAACATACATTCATTCATGACAGTGAAAATTATACAACTCACTACTTATTATTATCAAAAATCTAAGATGTATATGTATAGTATATTTACAACCATTGTCACCATAAAATTGTAAAAACTGTTAGATTACAATACATATTGTGAGATTGTTAACTGTTGATATATTGTGAACTGCTAGTACTTGGGTAAATACTATATATGACTAGTGCTTGCTTATATCTGTTATAATATATTTTATTCAAATTATTAATGATGTGTTTCTGTTGCAGATTGAAGCGACGAGTCGTATATGTCACAAATGTTGGATGGCTGCAGACAGAGCGTCTGTCCAAATGACCGGGGCCCGTCAACATCATTGGGACAAGACAGTCCTCAAATAGTTGAACCACATGAAGAAGATCTTCCTGATGTGTCTCCAAATGCAGGAGTTAGCAGCAACCAAGCAGTACCTTCTATTGTTTTGTCTGAGTACATGAGAGCTATTGAAACTGAAAGAAGGTGCTTCATTGAAGGATGCCGAGGAACAGAAAGATACAGAGTAGCACTTACTACTCGTAAAATGTTATTTAATGAATATAAATATTACATCCCTCAAAATAACCGTCTTTGTGCTCAACATTTGGTTATCGAAGCATGGGATTTACTGGATAGTTTGACATCCAATTATGTTCAGACATTTACTGAGAGACATATTTATGATATGATGTCTCTAAGAGTAAATAAATAGGTAAATTAAAATTAGAAATTAAATTGACCATGCAATTGTAATTATAAATTCATATTAAGTGTTTTACAGATGAAAATTAACAATTCAATAAAATAACAAAGTCAAATCAACAATACTCGTACAATTGAAGTTATACATTAAACTTAACTACATAATTAAAATTAACTATACAATTTTATTATATATCCGATGATTTGTGATACAATGATAAATAGATAGATGATTATTTAAGTCATATATTTTTTATGCTGCAATTTCTTACAAAATTATGTATTATTATTACTATGTATTATGTAAGTTATTTCTTACAAATGACTTATCAGGTATTCTCTTCTAAATAAAATTATTATTTTTCACATAATTTTACGTGTATTGATCTAACTCTTAAAGATAATGCAATATAACCTCACTTTTACTGAACCTCAAATAACTCCGCTATCTGATTGTCAATTCCTATTAAATTTTCAATGAAGAAACTCTTAATTTTGAACTTTTAATTAATACTATTTTCATGTCTTTACATTGTGGGCCCAGAATTGTCAATATTAATAAAGAGGAAAGATTTGTTTGTTTATTTGTTATGAATAGGCTCCGAAACTACTGAACCGATTACAAATTACTAAATACTATTTTTAAAACAAACAATACTATAGATACTTACAGAAAACACATAATTATAAATTAACTAGTTTTTGCCCGCGACTTCGTCCGCGTTAGTTATGTCATTAGTAATATATGTATAGCTGACCGGGCGAACTCTATTCCGTTTTAGAGGCCATTAATAATCAGGTTTCTCCTGTTTCAATCGAACAGAATGATTGACATATTAGTTAGTTGTCAAATCTAATGTCAAAGAAAACGTTTGTATGGGAAATAGAAAAGGGCTGTTTTTAGGGTTTTCCCGGCAATTATTCCAATTTTCTCACCTTTTATACCTTCCCTGAACCTCCACAAACATTTCAAGACTAAGATAAGATAAATCCGTTCAGCCGTTCTCGAGTTTTAGCGAGACTAAGGAACAGCAATCCATTTTTATATATATACTAGAAGACCTGGCGAACTTCGTATCGCCCTATAATCACGAAATATCTATTACGTTTTTTATTTATTTATGTTTTGAAGTGCGACAGAATGATTGACATATTAGTTAGTTGTCAAATCTAATGTCAAAAAAAAAAACCTTTGTATGGGAAATAGAAAAGGGCTTTTTTATGGTTTTCCCAGTAATGAATCAATTTTTTTTCAGCTTTTATACCTTCCCTGAACCTCCACAAACATTTCAAGACTAAGATTAGATAAATCCGTTCAGCAGTTCTCGAGTTTTAGCGAGACTAAGGAACAGCAATCCCTTTTTATATATATAGAAGATATAGATATAGAAGATGAAGTACTCTTAACCAACAACATATTTATTTGTTTATTTGAATAAAGATTAATATTATTATATTGATACAACTTAAACAATTTTTTTCGACCAAATTAGGTACCATAAAAACGGTTTTTGTGAGTTAATCTTAAAACATAGACATATATTGTCGCTAACTGTTTTTTAGATCATTAAAAGAGCTATTATTCTTTAATACATATTTTTTGTGTATCTTGAACCGTTTTCAAGGCGCACGCAACGGAAGGCTGCAAAAAATGAAATAATTTCTCCCGTTTTTTACACATTTACCACTATATCTTTGCTCCTATTGGTCGTATCGTGATGTTATATAGCCTACAGCCTTCCTCGATAACTGGACTATCCAACACAAAAAGAATTATTCAATTCGAACCAGTAGTTTCGGAGATTAGCGCTTTCAAACAAACAAACAAACTCTTCAGCTTTATAATATTAGTATAGATTAAATATAAATTCCTTCAGAATGAATCGCGAATAAAGTTTTCGCGGAACTTATTATGCTATAATATGTTTTAATGAATTAATTTTCACTCATATAGGATATGGTAAAGACTAAAGAATGTCAACCAGATTGTAGAGCTTCGAGAAATGAAAGATGCCAAAGGATCCATAGTGTTATGAAGTGCGTGTGTAGACCAGGTTTCGCTAGAATGTTCCCAGATCGACCGTGTAAACCTAAGATATTACTATTTTCTATTATACTAAAAATACACAACCAGTTAATATTTTAACTATTTTAACATAATATTTTAAATGTGCTCAATTATAGCAACATACACGTGCTCAGTAAGATTAGGAAATTCCATAAGAATTTATCGGACAATTCTACTAAAGAATATGAGAGTTTGTCATTGGCTACTCATGAAGGAATAAATAGAATGATAATGCAATCAGACTTACGGGATGTTTATCACGGAGACCACATAACAGGATTCCATCCTATTGAGATGAGACCAATAGACGGTGCATATGAGGGAGTTATCAATGATTTCTACGTTCAGGTAACCATTCAGTAAAGACTTGAAATATGTTGTTTTAAACTTATTTTAAATGAATTTTTCTTTAGCTTTTCGATAGCGCTCATGAAAGCAGACTGAAGGAAGTTATAGAGAAATATCTACGGAATAATAATTATAGTCTTGGTGGAACAGAAATTTATGCATCTGAAGAATTTATTGAGAGCCTTAATGTCAGTGGTAAGTGAACACTCTCAAGTCAGTTAATTATAAATACAGAACATTTACAACAAACACAATTTTTCAGTCTTATTACTCAGTGGCGTGCATACCATAGATGCAAATAAGCACTGCATATCCTACGCATATAACAACTAAACCTATATTGTTTAATTCTTACTTACATATTTTTAATCATACATTACGAATTACAAATATTAACAGATATGTTACGTAAGCATAACCCGATATTAAGTTTTCGGTATAACAATGGTGTAAAGTACGGAATGCTGACTCTGAGCCATCGGTGGGACTGGGAAAGTGAAGTGGACACCACACGTCTTGCACCATCGGTGAGAATGAAGAATGGGATTTTTACATATATTCAGTCTGGAGTCAACCGCTGACTTACAGATACCTCTTTAGTATGGTTAGTTATAAGACTTAATTATAGAATGGGTCTTAAGTCAATCGCTGACTTAAAGACCCCACCCTAGATAGTAGTTAAATTTAAGTCTTAACTGGTAATTGAATATATTTTATAAGTAAAACGGATTTTTCTTGCATCCTTCGCTGCCACCAAACGTAATTGATATTTAAAACGATATTTGATTTATGATTTGTTATTAAGTGCCATCTATCAATGTTAAAACGAAACTTCGTTCGTTCGTTAATTGTCAAATGAAACGGGACGCTCTGATTGGTCGGTAAACTGTTCATATATTTTTTCGCCATTTTATTATTTTAGAATATTGTTATTTGTCTTTCTAACTTCTAAGCGCAAGTGAAGTAAGTTTTAATTAGTAAACAGTGGATTAATTTATTAACGAATTGTGTAAAATTATTGCTGTGAGCTCTGTGCTGGTGATATGTGTTTATTGAAATTAGTTACGATTAGATTTTTAATATTGGCCTATTGGTAATAAAATTAAAATAAGTGTAAAGTCAAGGTGTGTGACCAGTTGAGATTGAACTAAAAGAAAGGTAATGTTATTGTTTTAATTAGTTAGCAGGTTGTGTACACACAAATCAGTTATTTTGATTACCTTGTTTCTTATTTTGAAAAGGTAATAGGTAATAAGAATATTTCTTATTATTTTTAATATTCCTATTTAAATAACTTTTATAACTTAAGCTGTGGTGAACAGATCGTAATCGTTTTAAGGATTCGTGGCTTTCGTCATTCGTGGCTCAAAGGTAGTTGAGAGATTCATAAAGTATAATATAGATGTTCGTTCTGATCGGACTGCTGTCCCTACCATTTTGCGCGAATTTTATCAATATTTAATTTAAATTAATATTTTCTGATTACTTCTCGTATTTTATCGTGCACGCCACTGTTACTTATATACTATAAAAATCTAAGAAGCATTTGAATTTTTTCAGATTTCGACGAATGCACGAGTAGTCAGTTCAATGACTGTTCCGAACACTCACGCTGTTTCAACCTTCGTGGAACTTACACTTGCAGTTGTTTAGAAGGTTTTACAGACCTTAGTGTCGACACTCTATACCCTGGAAGGATATGTTCTTGTAAGTCGATTTCATTTGCTACTCTGTCGCACGAAATATATGGGGTATTTTAGACATCAAAACATAACCCTTATATATAATTTGACTTTGAAAGCGTTTTAAGATTAATCCAATGATAATAAAAATTGTACAAATAATGACACGATTATGTTTTAAATTGTAATTTTTAATAAAAACTTTCAGCTGACGCAATAGGCTATGCGGGCTGCAACTATCATGGTAGCTGCTTCGATCGTGAGAACGCGATGATACGTGAATGTTTCAATTGGTACGCGGGATGAACTTGTCAAGTTAATCTGAAAGGTAAACAGAGACTTATGATACTTGAGTAATCTGAAACGACTAAACTATAAAGTATACCACAGGGTTCAATATATCCAGAACTACTACTATTCACTATCTCTTAAAAGTGTTGCTTATTTTAAAAAATATGACGATATTAACATAAATTGTTCTTGATTTGAATTTAATATTACCTATCCATAAAGGAATAACTTGATCAACGCCAGCATTTAGATCAGAATGGTTTTTTATGCCAAATGTCATGTAATTTAACATAAAACTAATACCGAATGTGTTTTATTTTCAGCTGTATTAATAACAGTCACCATAGTAGGAGATCTGATTATCATAGTGGTGACCATCTGGGCCTCGAAAAGATGCTGCAGTCAGAAGAATCCTACGAATCAAATGTTTGTTATTGGTTGCATGCAGGGAATGCCAAGTTTACATCAGGTAATTTATCTATAATGTAATACAAACATTTTGCAAAAATTATAGTAGCTATATGTACTAAATTTCTAAACAATATTGTTAGTTAAAAGTGGTTAAAAGGCCCGCCTCTCATGCACGAGGGCGCGGATTCGATCCTGGCCCTGGCAAGTACC